TAGACCCGGTCCCTCATCGGTCGACCTGTCACGGCTTAGCACTCGTCGGAAGGTTCATCTGCTACTAGCTATGTAACCAGGATGCCACTGGGACCGACAGGTGCGGCGCTGCTGAAGTCCCGAGCAAGGGGCGCGAAGCAGGAACAGCGAGCTCACGAAACGGTGACGCGTGGACAACCAACGAAAATCCAGGTTTCTGATTGGTTGAATTTTCAGCCAATAGATAGCTCCTTGGATGGATGGCCATGGTCCCTCGTCGGTAGACCTGGGTCCTTTGTCGGTCGACCCGGTCCCTCATTGGGTCGACCCGGTCCCTCATCGGTCGACCTCGGCCCCTCGTTGGTAGACCCGGTCCCTCATCGGTCGACCTCGGCCCCTCGTCGGTAGACCCGATCCCTCGTTGATATACCTGGTTCCCTCTTCGGTAAACCTCGGTCCCTCTTCAGTAGATCTGGGTCACTCAAGAATGTAGCTCACTGTATCGAAGATTGAAACCACAGCTGGAGTGACCCATCGGTCCATTCAAGGTTCTGAAGGCAATTGGCGACGCTTATACACTCGACATCCCCTCTTCACTGCGACTCCACCCGACATTCTATGTCGGGCGGCTGAAGGAATATCGTCCGGCTACGCTTCACTGTTTGGCTCCGATGCCGGCTTTAGGGGTCCGTAAGTCGAACGGCCTTCCCGTCTTACTCAACGCGCCGATGACATCGGGCGAGGCTGCGTAATCGCCTGTGCATGACGCATGACCAATGAACTGGCGTTCCAAAGCCCTAAACTGTTTAAGTAGTTCACGGTTCGACTTTCAGATCTTACTCTCAGTCCTCTCCTCCTAAGCAGCACGTTCAAGAGCAGCCTCTGATTTCATTAGAGCATCGACAGCCTTATTTACAGACTGATCGACATCGTTCTGGTGTGACAGGACGCCAGCATTACCATCGCGAGGTCTCACAACCGCTTGTGGATGAGGAAGGCCAGGTACTATATATTATAGATCGTATTGAAGGTCACGTGGATGTGGTGAAGTGCTATTCGAGATGTGGAGAATCGATGGGAAGAATTGATATGAAGGGACAAGTGACTACGAGCCAGGAAGAAGGGACCACGCACCAGAGAGAAGGGAACGGGGAGAAAGGGGACCTCGGAGTGAAGCGACCGTAGGCTGAGAATGTAAATGACCAGCAAAAGGGAGGTCATTAATAGGGTACTGGTTAGACGGTACCGAAAAAAGTCGACCACGGTCCCCTCATTTGTAAACCTGGGTCTCTTGTTGGATGAACTGGTCCCTCATCGGTATGCCCGGTCCCTCATCGGTTGACCAGAGTTACTCATCGGTTTAACTGTGTCCTTTGAGGTTCAGCCACTCCTAACCAGTCACTACAAGTATCAAACTGGTCGACACAAGAAATTTGGTTGGCAAGGATAGAGTAAAGGAATTAAAAGGATAGGACTATATAAAATGCTACTCAATGTGCGATCTACGTGGCACAACTTTGTCGCGTTCAAAGTAATTTGAGTCTGAACACACACCTGTTCTGAAAAATATATGTAATTTGCCCTCCTCCATTTTAGACAGTCGTGTAGTTAGACTCAAGCGCGAACAGAATCTCACGTGACACGACTTTGTCGCGCTTAAATACTTTTTTTGATCTACTACCAATTTCTAGGAAAAGATATATTTTGGCCCCCTGTTGAAGATGGTCGGTCTGCTAGACTCAAGTGCAGAAGAAACCCAGAATATATTTGGCCTGTGGATTCGTCTCGAGTAGCAGCCGCAAAACCCGCTATCGCCCTCCCACCTAGAGGTCCGGAACCAAGCAAAGGATAGATGGTAAGAACCCCTGAGCCAACCAAGGAAAGGCCAGGTACGACAAGCTCCCTGATAAAATGGCTCTAAGCCCGCTCTCGACAAGGTCGATAGGGTGGCCACCTACCGGACCACCGAGTCAAGAATAGTCACTCGGTGCCCCTCCAGGTATACCTCTCTCAAGGCAGACATAAAAAATCCTCACTAAGTCTTCCAAAGAGTGCCACCCGCCAGCCGACGGGTACACAAGGTGAGAGAAGGTCCATAAGCGTATTGGGGGTAACCCCTCCGACCGTCGGCAGTCCGGCCCAGTGAGTGGTTTGGAGTCTTATCATAACATTATAAGAATCTACTCCACAACATGGATTTTCCACGTGCAGTGATACAGCCGGATCACGAGAAGAGCGTGGTTTCATCCGCGCGCAAGTATCGTATAAGCTGGTTTGGGTACTGACGCAAACAGGATACGTGGAGACCGCGCTCCTCGCTTCTTAGTGACGTTCCTGATGTTCTTCGTTCATATGAGTCCATTGAGTCGGGCTACTCCGATGCAAGCGCGAGCGTGGGCTGAACGTGAACGGTGAGGCGACTCACGCCGTCGAAACCGTGAACGGTGACGTGAGCGAGAGCGTCGTGATGAAATTAAATTATCACGACCACGAGACGCGAACCTCGTAGCAGGATTAATAGCCGAACGTATCGCTGCCTGTGTGGCGAAGCAAAAGAATGATTTTTGCAACGTGAGATCGCGCATTTTTTTTTCGGTTTAGTCCATAATGAGTAAATGGATGAATCGCGATCCAGCAGAAGAAGTTCTCGAGACGTTACAAATGGAATGCACATCAGTGAATGGTGGTGCTCACAGCTCTTTGTTGAATTAACTACGGCCCAGAACTACGTAACTGCAATCTCAGTATCTTTCAAATAGCGATCCGCGTAAGCGCGATCTCTAAGATGGTGAATTAGTATATTTAAGTATATGGAACACAGTCTGGCTAACTACATCACTCTGGAAGACTGGAATGAGGTGGACATGACATATCATGTAGATGGACCATTTCGCCTGACCCGGTGAATTGGAAGACGATAGTGACAAGCCATGATCCGGCGGATCGCGATTCGATACAAACTGTTAGTACCGCGATCCGATACTAACTATTAGTACCGCGATCCGATACTATTATCGTATTAGATCCGATTGAGGCAGAGATTCAGATCGCGGTGATATTGGAGTGGACTACATGACAAGATCTGATTTTATTTCGAAAGGGTGATACGTGGCAATAGATCCTGGACTACAGATAGGCAGAATCGTAGGCTTTGGTATTGAATTATTTAACATTAAAGAGAGCTCAATTCACTTTGAAAGGAACAAGTGTCAGCTTCTACTCCGGGATGGATTCTTTGGACACCCGACGTCTCGTGAAGCTCACCCTTACCCTCGCAATTGTACGCCCTGGATTGTTTGGCTAGGTGCGTCAAGGACTCTCAAGACATTCTCAAGCTGTGATTAGACGCAGAGGACTAAGAAGTCCAGATACAAGATCGCAAGACGGCTCAAGTGGTCAGAAGGCAAGCAGATCAAGAATCAACTGTAACGGGGTTACACGACGGTTGTAGCGTCTTTCCGAGAGTTTACGGTTAAACTCCCCTTTGTATTGCATATAATGCATTATTATACTTCTCTTTAGAGAGGTATTAAGTATGAGCGTTAAGATACGGTATTCGGTAATACCGTATCTTATCGATTAGGATTCGACAAATCACTAACGCTGTATTAAGTACATCATACACAGATGTTTAGACGATACGTCGTTCAATAGCAAAGTCTGCATATAATAATTACTATTATAGTAATTAATCTAGTGTAGTGTACTTAGAGTAGGACTATTCATAAAATCTTAAAGCATAAATAAAATCAATTCTCCTTTTGAGTTTAAGATCGTAAGTCGTTCTGACTTGTTCCCTTGTGCACTTCGTGCGTTGGTTCTCTGAACCTCTAAGCTCTAGCTTGTTCTTGCACTCTGTGCGTTGGTTCTCTGATCTTTAAGCTTATTGCTTGCTGACTAAAAGTCTCTCCTACTTCCTTAGAACAGGGTGACTTTAAGTCGTTTAATTAGTTCCTTAGAACTAAGTGGCTTTTAGCCTTAACTCTATTTAGTTCTCTAGAGCTAAGAGGCTTCCAGCCGAAAGTCTTCCTCTGGCTAAAGAGCTGTGCAGCTCCGCTACATCAACCACTTGGGCAAGGCGATCTCAAGGGAGATCAGTGCGACTCAAATAGATCACCCCTAACCCCAACTGCGATCGTGTGAGGAATTTTACTCGATCACCCCCCCCCACCAATCCCTAACACAATCAAGTTCAACATCGACTCAAGTTTACCGAGAAGAGAGCAACCCGCCCAACCGACGGGTACACAAGGTGAGGAAGGCTTTATACACGTAATCGGGATACCCCTCCGTTAGTCGATCGTCCGAGTACCAGCGGAAAGTCGAAATCGCTGAAAGAAATATGCGATTGTCGCTCCACCACATGAGCTCATGAAAGAGATGGTGTGATATTTGTCGCTCCATACCGTCGGTCCTTGCCCTTATCTAAAGGGCATCTAAAGAACCGCAAGAGCAGTGACATCTTCATTATTCTTAGCTCGGGGTTTTGACAATTTCGTTTTCATCGCTCTTCTTTCGTAAGAGCGGCTTGATTCTGAGGTGTACGTTCGTTACATCGACGATCGTAACCTGTAGGAATATAAGGTCTGCCCGTGCAGAATGGCAAGGAAAAAGTGGATATGCATAAGTGTTGTAACTGATGGTAAACAAATTCGTAGATCTTTTTCCTTTGGTGTCTATAAAGTCGCTCGTGTCCCTTGAAACGACACATCTCAGGTGCCTTTTCGATAAGGCGCATTTAGCAACTTCAAAAAAGGATACCAATGGTGTGAAGCACAAGTATGCAAATGCAAGACCCAGCATGGCAAGCGAAGGCTCCCTTGTGAGTCGTCAATAGGCTCAGAGCTCTGTCAGCAGCGAGCAGGTATATAGGGAGGGGCAAGGGTGTTTGAGCGTTTCGATCGACACAATGGTCTGGATAATTATACAGAAGTACAGTGGGATAGAAAAGAGATTAAGTATCCTTCTATGTAACTACAGACGTACATTCGCCACAAACTGCTGACGGTCGCAGTAGCAAAATGAGCGAAGACGAGTTTGTGGTGCTGCTAGAGCACGCCGGCATCCTGGAGACGTCAGAAGAGAATGATATGGAATTCATGGAAGAGACGGTGCTGAATGAATGGCTGGAGCGTGACGGCGTGCAGCTTTTTACCACGCAGATGACGACGGTAAAGCGCGAACAGAGCGATGCAGACCTCATCATGGACGGCACGGCGTCGACTGCTTCGACCGCCACAGCAACAACACTCGTGGGTGAGGCAAGAACGAGAATGGCTGGACATATATTGGCTCGATTATTGGAGAGAGGATGGATAACTCCAATCGAATTTGACTATGCTGAAGATGAGACGGAGGTGCGACAAAGGGTTTGCAACAATTTTCCTTTATTCGAGTGTGTCAGTTAATTGGCAGATCGTTGTTTTGATTTATATGGCTACTACAATAGCAGTGGAAAACGAAGCTGTATACGCCGCGACTGCGAACAAATGAAGCGTATAGGATTTACATTGAGAAAGACCCGACGGTATGACTGCTTTGTAGAAAGGTTTTGAGATGACTGGATGCTTGAGCATGGTGAAGACCTACGACGATGTCCACTGTATCAAACATGATCGTTGGTTAATTGATACTGTCCTTGATGCAGGCAACACAGTTGACAGCACGGGGATTAAATCTTCATCCTCATGGCCTCTGTACAGTAGGTTTGTCGGTAGGGCCTACTCCTAATTTTCCGCTCTCGGCATGCCTTGAACACGCTGGTACTCATACGGTCTTCTTTTCTTGTTTTGATGACATTATGTAGACGGAGGGCCAAGTTGAAGACGAGACATCGACTTCCATTTCTGTAACGGTACCGTCCTGGACAGCTTTGGATGCAGTTGGTCGGTAATTTTCTGATGTTTATTTTTAATGTATCATTACTACCTACAGGTGGTGACTGACGATCAGAAGACTCGTCTACGGGAGAAACTATGGCTCGACTGCTTTCCGACCTGCTCAGAGAGCGCGAAGCAGACGTTTTTGTCATTCACACGGCCAGAGATCATCCTATATGCCACCTTGGGACTTAACCTTATCAGCAACGGAATTAGCAGCGTGCCAGCGTTCTCGCGCGAGTTAAAGAGTATGGGTGTAAGCAGCGCAGACGATCGGGCTATAATCGTCGGATTTCTAGCCAAGGCATTTCCAACCGAGTAGAGCAGAAAACATTTCTATATCAATGCGATGAATATATTATCAGGACGGTACATCATCATGTTGCTGTCTGTGCTCAGGATGACACGTTGAGGGAGGTAACAAGTATTGGCTTGCAGAGACCGCATCTACGAACAGTAAATGCCGAGCGCAAACCCAATGGTGGAGTCCATGGACGAAGGCAGGTTAGTCTTTATAATCTTGAGCATTTTCCAATATTACAGCTTGGCATCTTCGCTGTTTAACTTGCTATCCTTGTTAGAATCGACCTTAGCGATCATGTCCTTTTGCATCCTTGACGATCATGTCCTTTTGCATCCCACTTGATGTCGACATACCCGTTGTCGGTCCCTCCTGTGTTGGAAAGATTAGACAAATCAGATCAATGTCACACCACTAGCAGTCTTCAGACACGCACTGCAGTCGCGAGAATAATTGTGTCCTGGCACAAAGCCGACTCATGAAGCAGCAACGACACGGAGGGTGCTCAACGCAACACCTGCACAATGATGTGTGGCCTGCAAACGCAGGTTGCGTGTTTGGGACCGTCGCTGCAGCTTTTTGCATACCGACAGAGCGCCCGTACCGAGCTGAAGTGACTGCGGACGAATAAATACTACAGATGGTATGGATGTTTAAAGGAGAAGAAGAAAGAAATGAAGCCATTAGGACACGTAAGGAGCTGCGAACGTATGTGGTTTAACATGACGGTGAATCGGATTAATGGCTGGTAACGTGACTAGTGTAGCAACTTCAACTAAAGGACGTGTAAGTCAAAGACAGTGGCACAATGATCTGAGATCGTTTCTGTTGGTTAAGTCATGTGCAGCACGGTATGCAGCATCACGGGAAAGAGACAGTGCTGGACATTGGCTTCACTTGGATACCCTCATGTCTACTGCACCATTTGTCCAGTCATGCGTATGATCCTGTTAAGGTATGCATAGCATTATACTATATGAGAGGCCCTGCAGCCTAAGTTGAAGTGGTGTCACGGATGACGATTTTAATCTCAATGTAGGTCTCCTACCCCTTGCTCTCCGTTAGTTAGAACACTTGGGGGTCAACATTCGTTACATGGTACAAGTAGTGATTGATTGATTTACACAACCTACAAGTCTATTAAATTGTATATCATAGTACAAAACCCCACAACCTTCATACATCTAGCCATGCCGTGCTATTTGACCGAGTGCAATCCCACGACAGAGGCCATGCGCTTCGGCGTCGCCTTGATTAATCTGTACGTGTATCACTGCATCGTCGACAGGTTGTTTATTGAACCGACAGTCCAGTACATGCTGCGCAAAGGCTGGTTAACCCAAGAGAAAAAGGATAAGATGCGTGAGTCGCTCTATAAGAATGCGGCAGTAGGTGCCTTCCACATTCTCGGCCTTTACGTTGGTTGGAATGAGACGTGGTTTCTCAACAAGGAGGAGTATTTTAAAGACTTTCCGCACGTGGCCAGCGAGGGGCTGCGCTGGTACTACATGATCTACCTAAGCTATTGGCTCCAGAGCATTGACTTTATGCTCAACATTACAAACAAACATTACACAATCAAGCGCAAAGATAACGCTGAAATGCTTGTGCACCACTTTGCCACCATTTCGCTCATGCTTTTCTCGTACTATGTTGACCTCACTAAAATTGGCCTCTGCGTGCTCATGATCCACGATGTAAACGACCTGTTGCTGGAGACCGGTATGTTTGTAGCGTCCTTCCTACTCTATATGTATGCATGCAATATATAATTGAATAACGTCTATGGTGCTTTGTTGTGTGTTTGCAGCCAAGGTGTTTGTGTACCTGCAGTGGGAGACAGTGGCCAACGTTTTTTTTGGTCTCTTTGCATTCGTGTGGTTTTTCGTGCGCTGGTTCTTTTATTCGTACAATATTTTGCACAGTGCCTATGCGTTTGCATACCGCGATTTGATTGTGCGAATCATTGAGGCTGGCAGCTTCGCTGGAATTGAAGCTTCTGTGTGGTACTGGACATGGATCATCTGGCTCGGTTTCTTGTGCCTGCTGCTTGTGCTGCACGTTTACTGGGGCATACTGATCGTCCAGATGGTGATCAAGGCACTGGGTGACGGTAACGTCGAGAAGGATATCCGCAGTGACTCGGAAGGCGAAAAGGACGTGGAGGAAGTAGAGAAGCCAAAGAAGTTGCTCGAGGCGTCTGACACCAGCAATCTTAAACACCGTCGTGCTCCCAAGGCAGAGTGATTGCGCTCACGTCGACGCAGCGACGTTGGACAAGACAATGTGGGCGTATTTTGTGAAATTGGGATGTTTACCGCATTGTAGAGAAGAGGACAGAAGAGTGGCGGAGATGAGGAAGACTTACAATCTGTTTTGATGCGTTTGTTGAGCCATTTGATGACCATCTGGATAACATCTACCTTGCGTATTCCAAATCAAAAGTTGTTACGGTACTTGCAATAATCAGGACAAGTCCAAGTCAAATAATGAGCGCTTCTACATAAAGACACTTCTTGACCGAGAAAGTTTAAGCGCTGTGTGTTCCGGTGATCAGCACTTCAACCCATATTGGGTGCGTCACCAGCGTAGTCAATATGCTCTGTGAGCATAGACTATAAGTTTGTCGTGCGAAGCAGCCTCAATACATTAGTGCACATCAAAAGTCGTCAAAAAACCTTGCCAGCGAACGTACTCAGCACAAGTCGTGACCGCAAAGTTGCAGTTGGCTGCAACGTCTCAAATTTGTAGTTGCAAAGCAAGTAAACCCATTACTTCGTAAAACAGTAATATCAAAACGATCACGCAATTATGCCCAGCAAAAGCGACGACAGAATCGCGGCCTAAATCCACTAATGAGCAGTCTGCTCGTATCCTTGTTTTCTGCACAGCATTTGAATCCTGACTATTGCTCTTTGCTCTTCATTCCAAGGCCGACAGCACGTTGGATAGCTTACAGTTTCCTTGTGCTGATTGGTCTTGTCGGCGAGATTTCCTAGGGTTTCGAATACAAGCTGCATATAGATGCGTATCTTCGCTTTCAATTCTAAGTTTGCCAACAAATTCCCACCTGAATTATGTAGCGCTTATAACCTGCTGCGACTCTCGCTGATTCTTTTTCAAATTATAGTGGCAGAACCCTCTCGTACATAATCATATCGTAAATCAAGCCCACTATACATTAATTGATCCCAGAGCTCCAGATAGCGCTGCAATTATGATGAGACAGTATTCTCTCCTAGAATTTCTTTGTGCTGTGTGTAGATGCATCGTATGGCCATCGAGTGCAACTTTATCTCCCTATACGCACCCAGGACGCTGCAGTAACACAAAATAAGGTGTCTCCAATGCATTGTGGTATTTGATTCACGTAAATGTGCGGGTTTATACGCGAGAGTGATGGTGACACTTAGTAGCTGCTAGGAGATTGGAATCAAGAGCGAGGACGACGGCTTGTAATGCCTTTTTCATACGAGGCTGCCAATTATCTACCAAGTTCATCAGCACAATCAAAAAGGGTAGGACCAGAGTGATAACTAAGCGGCGAACGATGTGATACGTCACACAGGAAGCAAATATATTCTCGTTAGTTTGTTTAATTTAAGAGAATCTCGATAACGTACGAACGACATTCAGATGACATTACCCTAGTCGGTCATGGTCGTTGAAGATGTAAACTGTGTCGTTTCGTTGAAGATGTGCTGTGTCGTTTGAAGTGGAGCGACTGGAATTTTGTCAAGCCCACTCACCAAACTCCGACGACGTGTTTACCGCGTCGTATGCCGTCGGAGAAGCTGTCCGACGGGTCGTCCATTGGCACTGCAGTGTAAACAACGGCTGTTGCCTTTGTTCTTCTGGCACTGTGACTAGCACACCTCGAATACACACATTTTACATACTTAATAGAGTTAAGAGAAACATCCATTAGCTATGGCATATGATTGAAATCTATTACTTCTTATACCCTGCTCAACATGATATTCTTTCTGAGTCTCTGACACACGCGACGTAGGCTTCTGCGGCTTTTCGCCCAGCCGCTAGAAACTTCGACTTAGACCTGCACGGCAACTCGGTCCCATCTCAACCCTCATTCTCAATTTATCCCTGGTCGTAACAGGTGACATTTAGACTTTCACATTAATGATGGCGAGCTACTACGCACGCAAGAGCACAAGCCTTCGGGCAGCCAAGCGCTGGCTCATTGACGAGATGGACACTACGGAGGCGTTTGCTACTATGCGTCGCATGCGCCCCATCGATACAATGGCCAGCAAACAAAAGCTGCACGTGCTGGGCGAGTTTTTTCCGTCGGTTGCTATGGATGTGCGTCGAGACGTGCTGGTGGCTGCCAATTACCGTGAGGATGTGGCTGCTGCCATGTTAGGCGACTTGACGCGGGAGCCGATGGCTGCTGCTGCGCGCACGCAGGATCCTACGGAGCTGTTGTTCGTGGACCTGCATGCGGATGAAGACGCTGCGTCCGATCTCGCAGACGAGGAGGACTGGAGCGAGGTGGCGGCCGTTAACAATGGCACCGATGCGTGGGTTGTGATCCAGGATGATTGGGAGGTCGTGGACAAGAACGGAGAGAAGGTCCGCACCTTTGCTGACGTGCTGCAGATGGCACCTGTGGCAACGCCATCAGTGGCAGCAACGAGCCCAAAAAAACTACAGCCGGCGCTACTGTCGCGCCTTTCTATCGTGGAGCACACTGCTACACGCAAGACGTTGAAGAAGACGGAGAGCGACCTCGCACTACCGGCTTACGAGCTGGAGCGCGGTGTCAAGTCTTTTGGTGCACGAAAGCGCCACATGGCGAAGCACCATCGTTAAAGGGAACGCCGCGGATGGGTTGAATATCGCCCGACACGCCACTGGGGCAACAACAATGGCAGATTACTCAGACGTATTTATAATAATTGGACAATTGGTGCAGGACGACAGCGTGGCTCGGTCGCAATTCGACAATCTACAGTGGGTGACTTTAAAAGTACCATTAACTAACATAAAAAAATATTACTTAAAACGTCTGATAATAGAAGGTTTTTTGTATACGGACGACAATTGAACGACAGGCTGAACACTATGGCGATCTTTTTGGCCGTATACATTGTAGTTTTAACAGGTCTTTCATAGATATAAGCCTATATGACTTGATAATGTTCATTTTTATTATTAAAGATTGCAATATATCGAATATTAGTAGAAAACATCAACTCACCTGTATTTTTATCGACTTCCCCCCTTCATCTCACCTCAAATCCATCTTCGTCGCTCTTCGCCATCCCATAAAATGTTTAAAGCGTATGAAGAGCGAACGGAGTTGCTGCTAGAAGACTGCCGTGCAGGCGCTGGTCCATGGCTGCGATTGTCAACCAATGCGTCGACTGGCGGCGTCGATATCCAGCAACTAGAGGCCAGTGTTGTGCAGCCCAGTGAAGACGTCACTACCGTGTCTATACACGTAGTATACGGAGTGTATACTCTACTTAGCGGTCCATACTTAGCGGTCGTAACGGATTCACGTGTCGTGGGCTCGGGACCAAATAGTGAAAAGATTTACTGCGTTCTGGAGCTAAGACTGCTGCCTGTAAGCATCGCTGCTCATCAGAGCTTCTTTAAACACGCTAGTACTCGAGAGAAGCAAGATGAGCGCGAATACTGCCGTATGCTTACGTCAGCACTAACCTCACGCACTTTTTACTTTAGCTACGACTTGGATCTGACTCTGTCGGCCCAAAAACGGGCGTCAGCGTCGTCTTCATCAGCAGCACAACGTCAGTCGCCATTGTATGTACGTGCAGAGGAAGATTTCTTTTGGAATAAGCCTGTGTTGGGCAATTTCATTGACTTGGAGCTCAGTGACTGGATTGTACCAGTCATTTCGGGCTTTGTAAAAGTCATTAAGAAGTGCGACGTCAATGGCCAACGCTGCGATATTTTATTCTTTACGAGACGGAGTTGGAGACGTGTAGGTACTCGATTTAATGTACGAGGCATTGATAAAGACGGATGTGTGGCTAATTTTGCTGAGACGGAAATGCTACTGGTTAAACCAACAAGGGGCATCTGCTCGTACGTGCAGGTCCGAGGTAGTATTCCTCTGTATTGGGACCAGATGGTCACTTTGAAGTACATGCCGCGGACGCGCTACGCCTTCTCGGGACACACGAGTGTTGTGGATTGGAATGAATTGGCTTTTCGTGCACATATGGACAACCTCATCCAGCGATATGGGCACATTACGTGTGTAAACCTCATTGACAAGGCCGGCAAAAGTGCTACAGTACGCGATCAAGCACAACTCGGCTCGGCATTCGGTAAATACGTTAAGAAGTACAACCAGCTCTCAAAATCAGGCGATGGAACCAGCTCCGTAGGGTCTTCGGCGGCACCACCGATGCCGTTATCTGCTTCTCCTGCGTTTCACGCCATGTCGCCTCGTCAAAGCAAAAGCATGTCGTTCTCGCTATCCGCTGCACCGGAATCGAACGGAAGCAATGGATTTGCAGCATCGAATGGAGGAGGTTCTGCTGCAGGATCACCTACCAATGCGTCCACAGCTAGCATTGACAAAGTAATTAGACCGCCTAGTGTTTCGACTTTGCAGACATCAATATCGCTTCCCGCAAGAGAGGAACCACTGCCGCAAATAAGTGTTCCATTCGCGCCTACGTCGATTTCACAGCTTTTTGCAGAGCCTATTGCGTACGTGTGGTTCGACTTTCACCACGAGTGCCGTAAGATGGCATGGCATAACCTATCCAAGCTCATGACAGAGGTAGAGGAACAGTTCACGCAGTATGGATGGTTTGAGTGTAACGGTGAAGGACAACTTCTCTCACGCCAGCGCGGTGTCTTTCGTGTAAACTGCATGGACAATCTAGATCGTACGAATGTGGTGATGAGTCTCTTTGCGCGGCGTACGGTACTTATGGCATTACAGCTCTACCCGTCTAGCACCGGAAATGACAAGTGTAATAGTGTGCTGGATTCACCTTACAAGAGTTTTGAGGTCGTTTTTAAAAATGCATGGGCCGACAACGCAGACTATGTGAGCAGAATGTATGCTGGCACGGGTGCACTAAAGACAGACTTTACGCGCACAGGACGACGGACGATTGCAGGAGCTCTGCAAGACGGCGTCAATTCGGTGACTCGTTATTATCTCAACAATTACTCGGACGGCATTCGCCAGGATTCGTTTGATTTGCTTGTTGGAAACTTCACACCGGATAAGCGGGATGAGTCGCCATTTACTTTCCAGCAGCAGCACAGTCTTTTGAACATGATGATGGAGGCAGCATTGGCTACGCTCGCAGTTATCAGTGTGTCACTCAGTATGCGCCTGGAATTGCCGGTAGCGACTCGTGTGCGTGACGGTGTCATTGCAGCATTCGTGCTTTTTACCGTGATAGGATACCTCATCTTGAAAAAGGGTAAGTTCCGTTCCATCGGAAGGCGATACGTTTGCAAGCCTGCCTTCAGCTCTAGCGGTTACATTCGCCGGAAAAATCTATAGCGATCGTAGATACGCGAGGGTTACAATTGGCAAGCATCGTGTAGAAGTCAAGAAGAACCAAACGAATACGCAATACGAAAAATATACAGAACAAAGGACTTTACGATCCATGCCGAGCGTCTTTATCTGTTGTCGATTGATTGCAACAATCGTACTTATCTCGCAACTAAATGTTACAAAACCTCCTATTTTTTAGCATTATAATACACTTAAAGAGCATGGTTTTAAGACCGTTTTGCCCAGTCACAACCAATAGTTTACCAACTTTTTCAATGCTAAAGGTGAGCTCATCCGAGAAAAGGTACATTGTCGAGGGTGTCGCCGCTGATGTGCGTGCGGACGGACGGGATCGTCTTTCTTATCGAAGTTTAACACTAGAAACCTCGTTGCTTGCACAGTCGAATGGCTCAGCTCGTGCGTCGCTTGAATCATCGGGTACCGATGTTTTAGCTTCTGTCAAATTGGAAGTAGTTTCTCCTTTGCCTGAATCCCCGAACGCTGGTATTGTCCACGTCGCTGTTTCCTGTTGTCCTTCGGTCTCGGCCAAACTCTATGGACGCGCTGTAGATGAATTGAATGTGGAACTATCGCAGCTCATGACACGTCTGTTGTGCTCGTGCTCTAATACTGAGCTCGAAAAGTACTGTATTATTCCAGGAGAGAGTGTATGGTCCATTAGTATTGACGTGATGGTATTTGAGTCCAGTGGAAACTTGCCAGACGTCATTTCCATGGCCATTTACACGGCACTTAACGACACGGTCTTTCCGTCCGTGCGTCTTGTGGGCGTGGAAGGTGAGGACAAAACTATCGAGGTGGACACGGATCCTGCAGCTGGTAAGCTCATGACGGCTCAGCATTGGCCTATTTGCGTGACACTTAGTAAGATTGGCGATTACTTTATCACGGACCCGCTACAGGAGGAGGAGCTGTGCACGACAGCACAAATGAGTGTGGCCGTGAATCCTGAGGGAAGTGTCTGCGGTGTTCAAAAGAGTGGAATGGGTGCCATTGAAATCGAGGAGATGCAGCAGATGATTGATGAGGCGTGCGCACGATCGAAAGAGCTATTTAAGCTGCTGCAGGAAGCTCTGCGCGAGCAGAGAGACAGAGACGTCAAAGCAGGACGCAGAGTAGAGCGCGTTGGCTTCCTGGGACAATAAAACAATAATGGAGAGCCATTGCCTCGCTCCTTTTTGAACGCGAGCATGTTTTAGCAGTTGCAATTCAGGTAAGTGTCATTTGTTTGCTGCTAATTAAGATCAATCTTCGCCGCTGTCGACACTTGCAGTCACCATTTCAGAAAGAAAATTCACAACGCGTAGCAAGCGACCCTGATATCTTTCCAGCACTTTAATATTCAGCGATCGATTCATGAAACCCATCTGCTCTAGCTCGCTCAACTGGGCCTGCCATTTAATCTCTTGGTCCGCAGACTGCGTGACAGAAATAACAGGCTCCATGGCATGAATTGCAGGAACCACTATTGTGTGCATACTTTCATCAAGCCACTCTTCCAAAATCTGTCGAGCTTCATCCCATACACCGGGTAATTGCGTTCGGGGCCGAGCAACTGATGCATGATCTGCATGCAATGCTTTGTCCGTAGTGACAAGTTCATTACAAACCTCAGCTGCTGCCAGTCTCTCAACAAATAGAGCTTCTTGTCGGCCGTTTAAACCAACTTCTTGCAGCGTCTTCTCAGCTTCTTCTACGCCAAAGAGTCGACGTGGGTATGTAGCCGCCAGCTGAAAAAGCCGAGCGTCCTCGCCTGTAAGTGCCTCGACGAAATTAAACACGTTGCGTAGCGGAGATGAGTGTAAGAACCGGCGAGTTGCCTGTCCATCAGGCATTTTGACCACCACTTTCACCAATGGGCGTTCGTCTGCATCAGGTTCCGGTACCAAAGTCGCCATCTTGTTTGCTTTCCACCGCTCCTTTTCTTGCGCCAGTGCCACAATACGCGCCGCCTCTTCATCCATTTGCTTCTCGGCTTCTTTCGCCTTTATTACAGCTTCGCATGGGATCATATCCACTTCAAGGTCTGTGTTGAGAATGTTAATAGCTCGCTCAGGTTTCAATCTCGATACGAGCACTTCGAACGTCTCTTTGCCATGTCGGATGAACAGGACGTCACCCTCCGTCAGAGTGGTGTGCGTCTTCAGCGAGCGCTCCAGCATGTGCTTAAAGTCAATCTGACGATCACGAAATCCATTTCCTCTCGGCTGCAGACTCGCAAATGTTCCCTTCTCCAACCGTACGAAGCGCACCTGAATGCTGCCTGGTATCTCTGTAGCATATTTAAACAGCGACGCAGCGACTTTTGGTGGAATCCCCACCGTTCCTTCGTCCGCCACAAACTCGAGCACTCCTGCGTGTGTCTGTCTCTTTATCGTAGTCTCTCCACTCGTTTGTGAGACGTACTGATCCTCGAACGACAGCTCGAACGTGAACACGCCGAGCTCCAAGGCGTTCTGTGGGTTGAGCTCCTCCAACGCCGACACTGGCAGCGTAATCTTGTCGCCATCTTCAGACGTAGGAACGGGTCTTAGCTGTTGTAAGTACTTAATGCCACCCGTAATCCGCTGCTCCTCAAGCGCCTGCTGCTCCTGCCGCTCGAGTTCCGCGTTGCGCTCCACGCGCTTTTGTTGCTGCATCTTCTCCAATTCTTCGTGAGCTTTGGCGGCCACTGCACGATCCCGACGTTCTTTTTCAATCTTGCGCTTGATCTGCTCGCGTCGCTTGTTTTGCTCGCGATTCCACTTAACGTTGCGCGAATTCAGGTCCAGCTCCATGGCGTTTTACGAGAAATAAGAATGATTCTAATGTAGAAATAAGGTACTCTATTTTGTTCCCAAAGACTCTATTTAAAATACGTGAACTATCCGGCATCACATTAGTGAGTCTAGTCTATCTTGGCAGCATAAATTACAGAACACCCACGTGGATTGGACAGTATGCGAGCTTATTGTATAAGCATCGCCGCCTCTTGACGTTATAACTTTCCTCGCTTGTAGTACAGGAATGTGTACGAATTTATTTGACAAGTCATCAGTCCACCGCGTAAATAGTGTTATGTTATTCAGCGTTATTGTTACGTGTTGTTTATTAAGTGGAGTCGTACAGAAAGTGTGAAGACGAGTTTAATCCTGGTGCATGCAATGGCGACTTTAATCCTTGTACGTCACACCGATGAGGAGAAAACAGCGCAGCATGCTCTAACAACAACTCTTCCTCCGGCACCTTACTGCATTCGTCTTGCTTTAAATATGCAAACGTAGCAACGCTAATCAGCGACAGCGGCAGGCCGAACCCCGTGACAATCCACATCACACGAGCGCCATAGTTTTGATAAAAGTATCCACCGATAAGCGTGCCCGACGCTCGCGCCAAACCATTTTGAACAGAACTCAACACGCCCATGAAGGTTCCCTCACATCCACGAGGCGCCGCAGAAAATACGTATTGTGTACAAGCTGCCCACGTCAATCCAAACGTGATGCCGTGCAGGAACTCAAACGGAATCGCCCCCCATGGATTTATCATCAGCGCATAGTAAGAAACTCGTAACGTGTAACCCGCAAGCGACACAAGAAGTACGTTCACTATACCCATTTTCTTCACAATTTTGTCAGCAAAGAAAAATGCAGGCAACTCCGACACCGTTTCACACATGATAGCTACGCCAATAATATGCGGATCGTCGCCAGCGAGATTGTAAAGATTCAATTGGAGAAAGCTGCTGAATACCCCGTTCATGTTTCCCATGATGAAAACCACACCAAACAGTGCTAGCACGTCCAATTGTTGGGATATCAAATGCAGTGTCTCCGAAAACGACAGCGCAGTCTCGGTATTCCCTCGTCCGACCTCACATGGAGTATCCAGTGAAGTGTACTCAACGCCATACTTGACACGCGGGATCAGTCGCAGCACTAGCAACGTCGAAAACCCTGCGATGAGACACAGATTAAACGACCAAAAGATCCCTCCAAATGCCACCACAATTCCTGTCAAGTAGGTCCCAATGCCCCACCCCACAGCTCCAAAAAGTCTCTGTCTTCCGTACTCTCCTCCTTCCTTTTCCAGTAAATCAAGCACAGTGTGATCCAGCAATGAGCCCGCAGGAAAGCTCTGGATCTGACTGATGAGAACCATAAACACTGTCCAGCCCAGTGACCAGTAAAAATATCGAACCGAAAACTGCAGCATCGTGCCACTGACAATGCAAAACACATGCACAAGGCGCTGGTTGTGGATGTGGTCGGCTACACCGCCCCAAAATGGTGGGCCCAAGATGGCGGCGATACTGGGAAGTGTCTGCAATAATCCAATCTGCATCTTGGAAAACCCAGCCGTGTGCTGGTAATAGACTGGTAAGTAGTTTGCGGTCGTGGAACCCCAGACGGCACTTAGCGCGTACATGAGCTTCGGCTCCCATAGCCAGTCATTGCTCATACTATATTTCTCGGTCATGGATTGTATTGAATAATGACATCCAAAAATGTTTAAAGAGCTGATCGACAGATGGTTGTTCGCCAAGAAATTAGCAACGGTACTATGAACGGATATGCAGCCTTTTTTTCAGCAATACCTAGAAGCAGGTTGCTTACTAATGAATTACATTGTGTTATTGTTGGTGATAATCCATTAGATCATAGTTTCATCAAGCGGTACTTACACTCTTTTCTACTTTTAGGAAGGATTCTAAGCGTAATAATTAGGGGGCGCTAATTTTATCGCACTTTGGCCCACCTACCTGCAACAGTAATATATTTAGAAGCACTTATTTTTAGAAAGTCTAAAAATAAAAACCGTGACGTTATCAGTTTTTCGTAACTTTTATAAGATCTAACTGGTAGTAAGTCGTATGCAACCACGGCACTTTACGAGTGAGAAAGCATACGATGGCGTGACGTCCAGTATCCAAAGTCGAGCCTTCGTGCGTAATTTCCCACAAACAGCGTAAACATCATCCTTTTAGTAATGCAATTGATGTATCGCGAGTTTTTCGTCTGTTTTTGCAATGAATAGCAGACTTGTGGTACTGCTCCTTTAACTCGATATGTAATCGTTCCACAGACGCAATACGTAGTCTTTGTCGAGCTGCTGTCACGCGAACGTTTTTTACAAACTGCTTCCTTTTCTTTGAGTCGAAGCTCGATGTACTTTACGCATAGCAATTCGATACTCGCGCAACATGAGCTAGTGTGGCTAGTGTGGCCAGTGTGGCTTTAGGGCGATGCAGCTCATTTACGTACATTTAGATAACTAAACGTCAGATACGGGCTTAAGGTTGTCGTGAACAGGGCGATACAGGAAGGTGATTGAATTACCAAAAACCCGGGACGCTGTTCATCCTCGCAGAAGGCGTACAGTCTCTTCACTTCGTTGTTGCCACCGATGAATTGCGTTCGGGGGGGGGGGGGGTCAGTCCGAGGCCCATCAGTTTCAGTACAGCAAACAATTTCCAGTTGGCGTTCTTTCTATCTGTGTCGACCCCAGCCGTGGCAATGGCAGCATGGCGTCGAGCTGTCTGAGCAGTGCAATTAACTCCTTCGCACGAAACACCGCCGAATTCGAGAGCGAAGCAGTGCTGCAATGGGAACCTTCGACTGTGCCGTCAGCAGTCGCTCCAAGTCAGCGGCAGGCTGGTTGCCGTACTTATCGATCATCTCGAGCGGATCGTAGACGTGACCCCGCGAAAGGACTGTACTTTGATCCTCGCGGTCGACGGTGTAAGGCATAGCGCCGGTCTCGAAGAAAAGGCCGTTGAAGCTCCAAAACCATCATAACTGTACCACCAACCTCACCCGCACGGATATTCCAGTTGCATCTGTTGTCGTTGGAGCTCTCGTAGTCTGCCGACGTCGTCAACTTCGGACTCTGTTGATGATGATCGGTCGACAGTGGATAGTCTCCGACTCGTGAACTGCGGTGCGTCGCTTGTACTTCCTGGTCATAGGCGGCTGCAGAGGAGAATGGCAGAGCAATGTCGGACTTGGACGCGTACCGTTACAACTTTTGCTGCAACATATTGAGACGACGATGTGATTCCTCTCCTGCATAGTGCAGCGCTGTAAGCATCTGCGTCGCACGCGGCGCTTGGAGAAAGCACGTATCTGTCTGTTGCCGTTAGCTTGTGACATAGAAGAGAAAGCCGAACAACGCTGAGACTTGCCAAACCAAGACTCACATCAACATTTCGTGCGTCGTAGCAGCATGAAAGGCTCGCAATAGGACCTGTGCGACCGTTGGCGGCTTGACTGAGGCTGCACAACGTCTGATTAAATGAGCTGCCATCTATAGTCTTTTCAAACGATTGCATCGGTCGTGACGGTCCCATGTGCAACCTCTTTCATTGACAATGTTTTCTTTCCTCTCTCATCAAGATGCCTGAGCCCGCCGTCACTACTTTAGGCGTGTCTTGAGGGATTGCTACGACATTGCTCAACAAGGAAGCAAAGGCGCCACCAGCTACACGGAAAACATATCCAAACTGCAAGAACGACCTTCAACTGCTTCAATATTCACTGGAGAGTATTTCAAAGACACGTAGAGCTTCATTATCATTAAATACGCCATGTGATCTCTAAGCCTATATCAGCCGCAGTGAAATACCAAGCATTCAAGGGGTGTTGTGCAAACATTTCGCATCTTCGCTATCTTCGGAATGACGGGCGCCAGCTTTGCATCCCAAAAGCTCATGTTATCTCGAGTGAGTCGCGTCAGCCAGCAGTCTCACCAGCACTTACTCCAGTGTCAAATACACCCCGTCACTGTTCTAATAGCGAGCGAAAGAGTTTAGAGCGTAGCGTCGTCTACAGCAGCTGACGACGTTCAAAGTAGTCACGGATAGCGCGAATGTCATTAGGTGAAGTTCGGCAGCAGCCGCCAAAGAAGCGCGCGCCGGCATCGTACCATTTGGGCAACAACTTTTCCCAGGAGCTCGGGTCATCGCCGCTATCAGCTGGAAGCCATTTCTTGTTCACTCCATCCCATCCCTCTCCGCTGTTCGGGTAAACTACCTTAGGCCAGGGACAGTTTAATTTGCGCAGCAGACTTTCTACGTGCTGCGGCGGTGTGCAGTTGATACCAACAGCAACTAGCTGTGACCGATTTTTGAGTTTGGACAAAATCTTGGAGACATGAGCAATCGGCTCACCACTGTTAAGTTCCGTTCCATTGCAACAAGCCATCGCAACAATGGCGTGAGCAGTCGGGAACTCGTTCAACAGGTCCACAAACGCCTCCACCTCTACGAGGCACGGAATCGTCTCGCAAATGAGTAAGTCGACGGGTGCGTAGTTAGTGAAAAAGGCAAAGCGATGCTTGTGCCATGCCACGAGTTGCTCCTTGCTCTTGCCGTAGTCACCACGGTATTCCTGTCAAGATCCAGCCAAGTTCGTGAGTCGCCACTTTCCCATTCTTGTTGGTGTAAACTCGGACAACTAACTCACCGATCCGTCAGCCAACGCAGCGCCGTAGCAGCCGATACTGGCACCCACTAGGGGCTTCATCCGTTGACTCTGGTCCATTTCGTTCCATGCAGCGTCTCGTGCCTGCACGCCAAGGTCGATACTTCTAGCAAAGAGCTTCTCAACGTCGTCAATCAATGTCACGCCCTCACGCTTGAACCCGTCAGCTGAAGCCTGGTAACTGGTGGTAGTTGCAACGTCCGCTCCTGCTAGAAAGTAGGTCTTGTGGGCGTTCACAATCACTTGTTGCAGATGTGCATTCCTGTCCAACAGCAAAAACGCTGACCACAAGCTAGAGGTACTTAGATCTACACGTGAATCTTTCTCCAATTCAGTGGCAAATCCTCCATCCAACACAATGCAGCGGCTTTTGTCGGCTACAAGTTCCTTCAGACCAGTCAACGTCATGTGCGACGACAAGAAATGTGTGACGTGTGAGCAAATTTTCAATGGTTCCTGAGAGTTGAGGCATATGATTGGTAGACCAGAGGAATTGACACAAGTCCACCGTGACACAATGACGAGCAAAACCACAACGACATGACATCCGTCCCAGTTTAAGAGGGGGATAATGGTGAGAACGGACATGAAGCATTACTTTTGGCTGGACCTCAGTCTTCCAATTCCAGTCCAAGTCGTAGGTCGCTTGAAAGACCCCCTTCAGTCGACAGAAAGAGATTGAGACTTTTGTCATGTGTCAGGCAAAATTGGATTGCAAGACGCCACTAGTTGCTTCGGAACGACAGACTGAACACTCACTATGGCAGCCCAAACTCATGTACCTCATTAGCAACGCATGGACGTCTGCACAGAGCAACTTCCTGAGTATATTCTACCAGCAGACGGCGCAGTTTACTAAAGTGCAGATTGGTTTCTTGCAGACACTTCCTTGCTTGTGTACCATGCTGGCCCCACCATTCTGGGGTGTTGTGGCCGATCACATCCAGAACCAGCGACTCATTCACATCTTCTGCATCGTTACGGGCGCATTGCTTATGTTTGCGGTGCGCTTCTTTTACTGGTCTTTTGACTGGATGGTTGTCGTTATCATTGTGTCCAACTTCCAAGTGGGTCCGACCGGGTCGTTATTGGATCACACAGTGCTCAATCTTTTAGACAAGATCGGCGGTGAGTACGGTAAGCAGCGGCTATTTGGTGCACTCGGCTACGGTGTTGGTGCTTATGTCACGAGCCTAATTGTGGCCGTTGCTGGCATCTCGTGGTCGTTCAATGTCAGTTTGGCACTCGGTCTCATGTCTCTATTTGTACTGCGCACGATTCCACCGATGCAACACCATCGACAGTTGAGTGACACTTTGGAATATGGCACGGTGAAGCGGCCGTCGTTTATGGACAACATCCGACTAATCTGTGGGATGGTGGACGTGCTCGTGTTGTTTGGCGTGGTGTTCCTCATGGGGCTCATGTACGGAGTACTGTCTAGCTTCCTCACACTGAACCTGTATAATTTGTCGGATCAGAATGCACAGATTGTTGGTATCGCCATCATGTGTGAAACAGCGTCGGAATTGCCCGCCTTCTTCTTCTCCCACAAGATCATTAACCGATTTGGCATTGTAAATGTACTGCTGCTATCGATTATGGGCTACGCTCTCCGTGTGTCCTACTACGCCGTTATGACGAATGCATGGGGTGCGATCCCTTTTGAGTTTTTACACGGCGTCACGTATGGATTGGCATGGGCAGCATGCACACAATACGTCTACTCAGCAGCTCCTCCAGGTTGTGAAGGGACGATTATGGGCGTATTGAATGCGGTGCAAAATGGTCTTGCACGTGGAACGGGAACGCTCATTGGCGGCTACTTCTATGAACACTACGGTGCCCGTACGATGTGGCTAGTTACAGACCTCGGAGTGCCTCTTGCACTCATTGGTCTGTGTGTTTTTGCGCACCTCAAGAGCAAAACTAACGTGGTGGATGAAAAGTTCTTGGAAGAAGCTGAACTCTTTTCTTCACATGATGGGAATCCCCAAGAGCTCCAGGACCCGAGCTTTTTTGACGAGATCCCATAGACTTTTGATATATGCTACGTTCGACTTGATTGTGCATATTTTATCATACAGACTGTTTTTTAGTAAGGGAAGGCGTTATGTATCGTCCACCTTCACGTTTTTTCGATGAGATGGTCCAAATTGCATTCTTGACCAATGAGATGAGTTTTTTATAAATTTGGGATGGTTGATGGTTACCAAAAAGGTGGTTGATATATAACTTTGTAGCTACAAGCTTTTTGGTCCTGCTCTTATAAACCAATCGTCGATCAGAAAGTCGAACATGACGGACGCAGATGATGTCGACCTCGTGAACTTTGCGTCGTCTTTATTGGACGTCGTCGGTGTCGATTCTGATCTTCCAGAAGCAACACTAGATGCTGCTACACTCGATGCAGTACACGCAGCTATTAACGCTTCATTAAATCTCGAATCTGAGTCGATATCGACAAATACTTTGTCTCTCGAGCTATCAGCAGCAATCAATGAGGACCTAAAAGAGCCCATTTTAACTGAAAATAGTCCAAAAATTGGTCCAAAAAATAGTAACGATGATACCGTGCGAATTCTGATGTGGTTTCGACGCGATCTTCGTCTTCATGACAATCTCGCACTCACGGAAGCGTTGCAATTGGTGAAGCAGCAGGAGGAAAACATGACGCATCGTTTGGGCTACAAGGTCATTTTTATTCCACTTTACATTGTGCATCGTCCCAAAATCATGTTGTGTGGAGTTAATCGCTTCCAATTTATGCTGGAAAGCGTATCGGACTTGGCGGATGCATTGGCAGCTCGTGGGTCACGCCTTGTGGTGGCTCGAGGAGACGGTGTGCAAGTGTTACGGCGATTGTTGCCGGCATGGCGTATTACGCACCTCTTTTTTGACGCAGCAAGTGAACCTTTTGCTATTGATCGAGATAACCGTGTCGTAGCTTTGGCAACACAACTTGGTATCAAAACCCATGTGACACATGGATACACACTCTACGACTTGGATGCAATTATTGCAGGGAATGGAGGAGAACCACCCAAGACGTACACGGCTTTTCTTCGGGCGTTGGCTGTACATCCGAAGCCTCCAAAGCCACTACCGACACCGAAACAAGTTCCTGCTCCTGCGTTCTTGCCAAGTCAGTTGTATCAGCAAGTTGCGGATTACTGGAAAAATCGTGGCAAGCCTGATAGATTAGATGGGAAAGAGGAGAAGACGGAAGACGAGGCAGAGATAGACGCTTTTGAAGAAATAACGAAACACCTTGAAGAGATTGCGGGCTCTGAGCAGCAGTTCACGCTTCCCGAGGTGACGGACTTTGGTTACGATGCACCCGAGAGACACCCCTTTATCTACGGTGGCGAGCAAATAGCGCTGAGCATTCTGCGTGACTACTGTCACAATGAAGGCCGCGTGGTTAAGTTTGAGAAGCCCAAGACGTCTCCAGCGCAGACGACACCATCTTCATCGACAACATCACTAAGCCCGTACTTATATTTTGGTTGCATCAGTCCGCGGACATTCTTGTACCACGTTCGAGGAATTCAAGAGCACCATGCCAAGGCGCTTTCAGCTACACCTGTGAGCTTGGATGGCCAGCTCCTTTGGCGTGAATTCTTTCATTGCCATGGCCTTGCCAATCCACATTTTGACAAAATGGAGGAGAGCCCTACTTGCCTCCAAATTGATTGGAGATGGCATACAATTCCACAAAAGGAGGAGGATATGACTGATGATGACAAGCTCGCACGATCACAGTTTCAGGCGTGGACAAATGGTCAGACTGGTTTTCCGTGGATCGACGCCATTATGATTCAGCTTAAGGAGGAAGGGTGGATGCATCATCTAGCGCGTCACTCAGTAGCATGCTTTCTTACTCGTGGCGATCTGTACATTTCTTGGGTGCGTGGGCTTGAAGTTTTCCAGGAACGTCTGATCGATCACGACTGGAGTATTAACGCCGGCAACTGGCTTTGGCTTAGCAGCAGCTATTTTTTCACAGCCTACTTCCGTGTCTACTCGCCGTCAACCTTTGGCAAGAAATGGGACCCCGACGGTCTGTTTATTCGCAAGTACGTGCCGGCACTGAGCAAGATGCCAGTCAAGTATATCTATGAACCCTGGAAAGCACCCTTGAGTGTCCAACACGCTGCAGGCTGCCTCATTGGAAAAGAATATCCTTTTCCCATTGTGGATCACAAAATCGCAATGCGTCGGTGCATGGTGGGCATGAAAAAGGCATATGCCATCGGTGCGTACGGAAAACCCCCAGTTCCACGACCCCTCACCAGCCCGTCACACAAACGTGCGCGTGAAATTTCGTCGAGCTCATCGGAAACATCCGAAGGATGACGTTATATACAGGAAACGACCGCTTCAGCACATACAGCTGTTAATACCGTTAGTTTTGATCGATCGATGCTTGTAGACGCGTTCTTCGACGAGGCTCATTGGAAGTGATGTGTGATTGATGTGCGATGGCAAGAAGCTTTATGGCGTGACGGATTCCGTCAATTCCTCAAAATATGTCGTATGCAGGGCAAAGCGGTGTGCTTCGATTTATGGTGATGGCAGGAACGACATACACGATGATGTTGGTTGCAAAAGCTGCCACCCATGTGAGTGGTGGCCGATCCGGTGATGGAAACGGCATGAATTGTTGTGTTGAGAAGGAGACGGAAAACGGGAAAAGGAGCCTTCGAGACGCACATTACGAAATGTCCAGGGACCAAACAGAGGCTCCGCTTCATGGAGATCATGAGTGGCATCCACTTCAAGACAGAAGGGGTCCAACCGATCATTCTCATGAAAGTATGCACATGCACAACCGTCACAGCTACAACCGTCATGGCCACAACCGTTACGGCCACAACAATGCTTACGGCCACAACAATGCTTACGGCTATAAGAACGACAAGAACGACTATTATCGTAAAGACAATGACAGCGACGATAAAAAAGACGACAAAAAAGACGACAAAAACGATGACGATGATGATGATGATGACGATGATGATAGCGAACATAAGAGCAGTAGCGACCAGAAGATGCAGTCCAGCGATTTGGATAGTATTAATCTTGGCAACACAATTACGATCGTCAATATCGGCACGGTAAGTCAAGAGCCAGGCAATGTTGGACCCAGTGACATCGAGCCGATCGGAAATGTTTTGGCACCCGGCGATACTGGTCGTGTAGCTCTCACCGCTGCAGCTCGAGCATTTTGCGGCTCTGTCGGCTGCAATTCTTCGCAAGGATCGCCGAGCATCGACGCCAACTCCAGCTCTACGATTCCCCCCACCACCACGCGTTATGTCGCTGCCAGTAACGCCACAAGAGACAACAATGGTGGACCTGCGGTGAGCAATGGCAGCAGCAGAGTGACTATAGGGCTAGCAAAATGGCTGTTTCTCGTAGCTATCCTCATTGAACTGCTTCGTTTCTAGACCTGTTGATAGTAGTTGCTTGCATTGGGGTATATAAGACTTCTTTCTAAATTTGTAAACGGAGCTAGATCCGCACTTCTCTTGACGACACCCTTATAACACTAGATCGTACTGGCATCTCTTCTCGTCGAGAAAGACAATTGTCGTTATGTGGCTGACGAACCGTTAGCATGTGCCATGACAACAGTACTTGACCTTCGCCGCTGATCGTTTGAGAATTGATAAATGTCCGAGCCATGGTGGTCATCACTGCAGCCTGCTGCATCTGCCAACGGATCGCGGTAATCTACAGCTCAGTGGTTCCAGTCCATCCAGCTCAAACGGTAACAGCAGGGTCGACCGCACGGCTGCAATTGTAAATGTTTTACCATGTACGCTTTTGGGAGCTGATAGCGACAGAGTAGACAAGTGCTGCTTTGCCGTTTCAGCGGAACTGATGGCCTCACGGCAATTCGAACGGCGTGATCGCTTCTCACGAGAACACTCACCGTCTAAGGGTGCGGATACTTCCCGCCCATGCCAACGGCGCACGATGTCTCGGGCCTGAAGCAGTTGATGATTTTGATTCAGAGTCCCACACCAGCATGGATGTCAATTATCAACAAACTTGCTGCAGGTACACACACACCTACGCGGGGCTCTTGTAATGCCATAGGACGTTGCTAGTGGAATCGGAGACCTTGGTGGCACACGACAAATGCCGAATGGTAGGCCTCAACTTGAGGGCAGACTGTCTCCTCACTGTAGCTAGGGATCCACTTGCATTAGAACCATCACGATGCCGATCGCAACCGTAATGTAGTCTTACTATGCCCCGCATATGCGAGCTCTGCGTTATCTGTCTGAACTTACTCTGACTCGTTGCCGTTTACTGCTCTCCGAGTGTCTTGACGAAAGCACCTCTGGTGTTGGCCCGTCTACCTTAGCGCCACGCTGGACAAGACCCGGCGCTGAACTTGATCATTTCCACTGAGGCAAATCGAGTGAAGATGATCCGTGTACCAACTATTGACGTGACGGTTTCCAATATTTCGCCGCTCCACTCGTGGTCATCTTGCACAGGTAGGAAGCGCATCAAAGCGGAAAGCTTCTCAAATGTTACACATTAGCGACGGCTTGTGCGATGCTTACTCGCTGCTAAGAGCTGACATGTTTATGAAGGACCGCAGTCGATTGCAAGCGCCGTCGCACCTGTCGCTAAACTCCTTGGAGAATTGCCAGCGGTAAATGGGGCACGTTGCTATGCAGTTACAGGCACGAGTGAATGTAAATGTGACGAGCCTTTTGCTCCAAATACCCGCCATTGCTGTCGAACCCTTGCAGCACATGTGCGTGAGCGCAGCAAGCGGAACATGTCGCCGAACAGAACCGTATCTAGTGGAGTGCAGTAGCACCGTCACCTCCATTTCGAATCGCTGTTGTCTGGTCCGGGATTTGCTTTCGTTACACCGTTCTGAGCGAACGAAGCGATGAAAGCAGATATGAGCGTTACACCAGGGCGTGATTGCAAAGGAATGGCGGTGACTGCCTCCTTAGAATCTTTTACGCTGCTTGACACGGCAGCGTCCACGTGAAGGAATAGTGTGCGTAATGTTGTTTGCAGCAATTGGCAAACTGTTTTGGCTCGGTATCCGAGCTGCTGCGTCATCGTCCGTTCATGGCCGGACCAAGACAGTCGAAGTAGAAGACACCGCAAGTCAAGACCAGCTACTCGAAGGTTTTTTTCGAATCGATCCACTGATCTGATCCTCACTCGCTCGCGGCCCAGTCCGCTGCCATGCTCTTTGCATCTTCTGATGAAAAGCGACGACTGCAACTTGTTGCACTATCTGACGGAGTCTGAGGATCCGCTCAAATGGATGACGTCTCTTGCGCTTTGAGCTCATTCCACGGTGATCATTACTCACATGCCAGGCGTAGGACGAACGCGGTGCAGTATGTCAGACAGCGGACCTGAGCCGTGAGCTCAACTCAAATGCCAGCATCGCACTGTCAGTGACAGTCGTGGGTAAGAGCAACGCAAGCCACATGCGCAGCTCAAGGTGACTGATTGAAATGCGTGCTGGACGAGGGTTTATCCTATGAGCTCCGATGAACGGAGTCCGTACAGTACATGAGACCACTACGTCTGTAGCTGCAGCGCTGTCATTGCCAATGGACGTCCGCTAGCGAGCCTTGCAAGGCTCACCCAGTTTGCAGGGAGCAGCTCATCTGTTGAAAGGAAGGTTGTCTTATTTTCGAGCCTCCCATCGCAATTGCAGCGTCTGCAGCGCTCTGGGCGGCCCAGCACGTTGTTACCAGCAACGGCATGAAAAGAGAAAGGATAGGCAAGTAAGTGTACATGTACATGCGTTGTTGCCGCCGCCTGGACCACACTCGGCGCCTGCCCGTAGTAAAATCATCGAAACTGCTCATGAACGAGCATAGCCCAGACGGCAGGAAAAAGGTGCGGCGACGTCTTCCTTGTCTGCCTGTCATGGTTCGCTACTCTTTTGCTCACTTTTGCATTTCCAAAGCAGAGGAGACCTTGTCGTGGCGAACAGTAAGCAAGAGCCACTATTACAATCCGTAAAAGCATCTCAGCCAGCACGAGCGAGTCACAGTTAGACGCTCTTTCCATGGAAATCACGGTACGCGTCGAAGTTCAATACCACGCGCCAGCTAATGCCGTCACACGCGATGTGCTCGAGATGTTCCGGTCCACGACATGGGTGCGGTTTATGATGCGCTACGTGTCACCGCGGCTCAAAAGCTCATCGCCTGCAGACCAGGCAATCCTGGACGAGCTCGAGAGCCAGGAGGTCACAGAGGTACACAAGGGCGAGGAGTGCGTCATCTGCATGAGCGAGAACCCGTGTGACGGCCACGTGGCTCTGCCCTGCGGCCACACATTCCACTACCCGTGCATCTCGTCCTGGCTACAGAGCCAGAGCACATGCCCCGTGTGCCGCTTCCAGTTTCCCAAGGCTTTTACGGGCAAGTACGCCGTGCTAAAGCTCAAGTCGTCCATGGTGCTCGCCGAGGAGCAGGCCAAGATGCCGCGCGTTGAGCTGCTTGCACTCGACATCGGGAAGAAGGTTGTGTGTGCCGTCGTGAGCGTCACCCTTGTCAAGGTCGCGGCCGAGGGGGATGATGAGGAATTTCCGTGCGAGCTGAGCGCCTGGATGCTGGACCCCTCGACAGGAGAGACCTTTTCCGAGCTCGACTGTATATTACAAACCGTGTAGCACCAGCAATTAGACGTTACAATATTACAGCAATCCTAGGAGTTCAACGACAAAGGCGACCAGCAGCAGGACAGTCGTTTGAAGGAAGGACACATGTAGGTATTTATCAGAGGAAGGACAAGAAGTGAATCAAATAAAGACACGCACGAATAGAAAGACATGCTCTCAGTTCCAAAGTGTTTGATGTTTGTCAGACAAATAAATGGTCAATGTAGCGTCGAGCAACCAAACGTTTGCGTTTCGAATGCCTTGAACTGGACTCTTCTTGACTGAATTGAGATAACGTTTGTCTGATTGCCACACCGACACGCACCATAATCAAATTTTGCTTGATAGTCAAAACATCTTCATGACGATGTATCTCACCGAAAATGAAAAAATCAAGCAATGTATTTGAAACGCTTCTGAACTGCATACAGATTTGCTTACGTGTCTGCACCATTCGTGTCACTACTATATTTTACATACGCAGCTGCTTAGCAACATCTCTTAGTTCAAATTGCTTGACATTAAACTACGTCCGTACAACATGAATACACCGTCAATATCTATTTGAGTTTATAATGCATTGGCCAGTGACAGTACGTCGAAGGGGTGAGTAACCTGATAGATCCCATTCCTAGCATAGCACGTCCTTTATTTGAAGCTGGTCGGCGGGTAGATCTACTGTGCCTGGCTGCAGAGTATACCGGTTATTCATCGGTAAGGGCTCACTTTCTCTATAGAATCAGAATACGACAAGTAAGTATCCACCTGGTTCTCTTCTTTGTTTAAGTATCTCTTTCGGCTCAACCAACCATTTTGTACTGGATCACGAAACGTTGCTATCTCATTCGACCGACGATATTTTCTTTACGTGGGACTCGATGACAGTAGCAACAGCAAAAACAACGAGTTTTCCACGTGGTAAGAAGCTTCAGACTTCAAGTTCAAAGGCTGTCACGTCTGTAGCTACACCAGGTGAGACGTTATTCGGTAAACGCGGATTGGCTGCGACATCAACTGAGGAACAGCCAAGGAAAAAGAAGGCGAAGAAAGTAGCGGGAGTTCATACCGACAAGAAGAACAGCAGCAGCAATGAAGAGTTGAAAGGTGGTAAGGCTTCACTATTGAGCTTCAAGACAGTGCGCAAGGGCATGCTGTTACTGGGCTGTGTACGCCAAATCACAGACGGTCAGGACCTAATGATTAGTCTACCGAACAAATTAAACGGCACAGTGACTCTATCCGAGTGTTCGGATGAGTTTTATGAACTTATGCAGAGTCATAAACAGCAAAAGATACAGCAGAACGAGGACCAAGAGCTGCCACAGCTCAGTTCTATTTTCCAGATTGGCCAATTCGTGTCTTGCGTGGTAGTAGCGACGTCTAAAGCAGACAAACGGAAACAGATTCAATTGTCGTTACGCACGTCATTAATTCATGCAGAGCTTGGCCCTAGCAGTCTTGTGAAAGGTGCCTCGCTGCACGCTACAGTGTCGTCCGTTGAGGACCACGGGGCGATTGTCAATGTCGGTATCCGTGGCGTGCACGCCTTTGTGCCCCGTAAAGAGCTCGTGACATCCGTGCTGAAAGGTCAACACTTGTTTGTTAATGTGCTGTCTATGAACACTCACACCAACACGGCCACTGTGACGACCGACCGGAGTCAGGTTGTCAAAGCGGTTACGCGGGGTGACTCGTTCTCACTAAAGCAGCTTGTACCAGGCATGCTGCTCAACGTCCGCGTTGAAGAAGTCCTGGAGAACGGCCTGAGCGTGGCGTTCCTTACTTTTTTCACAGCAACCGTAGAGCAGAACCATATGAGTCTGCCCTGTGAGCGGGGCTGGGAAGAATCGTACCGCAAGGGTATGAAGGCTCGTGCACGTATCATGACCATCGACTACGTTGCCAAGCAGATTACGCTGTCTATGGCCCCGCATGTGGTGCACTTACAAGTGCCGGAGGCGCCCTTTTCGGTGGGCGACATCGTTGAAGAGGCCACCATCGAGCGGATTGACGCCGGTGTTGGAATGTTGCTGTCGCTAAAGAGCAAGGACGAAGACGTCAAGATGGAGGATGCCAGTGAGAAGAAGGAATCGACCACAAACACAAAATGGAAAGCTTTTGCCCCCGGATATGTGCATATTTCCAACGTCTCCGACAAGCGCATCGACAAGCTCGAGAAGAAGTTTACTGTGGGCTCCAGCATCAAGTGCCGCGTGCTTGGATTTTCGCCTTTCGACGCCGTCGTGAACGTGACCTGTAAGGAACACTCGATTTCGCAGACTGTGCTGCGTCACAAGGACCTTAAGCCCGGAGCCAAGGTCAGCGGCAAGATTCTGTCCATTGAGCCGTGGGGCATTTTGATGGAGATCAGCGAGGGTGTGCGTGGCCTGGTGACTCCGCAGCATATGACGGCTTTTTTGCTGAACAAGAAAACCAACAAGAATGACAAGTACAAGGCTGGCAAGACGGTGAGCGCTCGTGTGCTGCATGTAGACCATGAAGCAAAGAAGACGTTCTTGACAATGAAATCGGGATTGCTGGCTTCGGAGCTTCCCATCCTCAGCTCGTTCGAGGAAGCGACGATGGGCTTCATTGCTCACGGTTTCATCACAAAAATTGCTGAATACGGTGTCATTGTTACCTTTTACAATAATGTGTACGGTCTGGTGCCCATGGGTGTACTCCAGCAGGCTGGCATTACCAATCTCGAGGAGGCTTATGTCCTTGGTCAAGTGGTGAAAGCGCGCGTGACACGTTGTGATGCCGGTAAGAAGCGGCTGATGCTGTCATTCGATACGACGTCAAAAAGCTCGGGCAACAAACCGACTGCCGCCCCGGAAAGTGCTACGAAGCTAGTGGGAACGACGATCAGTAATGTCATGATTACAGACGTAGAGTCCACGTGCTTCCGCGTGCAGACGAAAGATGGAATGGAGGGTGTGCTCCCGTTCGTGCAGCTGACGGACTTCCCACGCGACACCTCACTGGTGGACGAGATAGTGAAGCGCTTCAGCGCTGGTGATGTAATTTCGGAGCCGCTGCTCGTTGTTTCTGAGGAATCTGACGGTATTCTGACACTCTCAAAGAAGCCACTACTGCTCGAGTTTGCCTCACGTCATGCCATTTTGCCACGTACCTTTGGTGATGTGCAGGAAAACGCTGTCCTTATTGGTTACGTGACGTCTGTTAATGTCTCGAAGGGTGTGTTCGTGAAGTTTTTGAACAATCTTGTAGCAGTAGCCCCGAAGGGATATCTAAAGGAGCAGTTTGTCGAGCGGATTGAAGAAGGCATGTTTGAAATTGGTGAGACTGTGACATGCTGCGTCGAGAATGTAGACAAAGAAAAGAAGCAGTTTATTGTTGGGTTTAAACAGCGCAACTTCGTGCTGCCTACAAACAGTACCAACAAGGCTCGTCCAGCCTTTTTCCAGGCGTACCTTCGTGAGCAGGCTTCTTTGTGTAACGCTGCCATAGTCAAGAAAGCTCCGTTTTCTCTTGGTAAGACAGAGAAGGCGGAGTTTGTCGGTGTCCGCCCATATGGTGCTGTGTTCGCCCTGGAAAAGGATGACGAGACTGTAACGGTGTTAGTGCCTTCGGTGACAGAGAAAACCAATGAGTGGAATGAGGGCGACACTGTTAAGCTGCTGCTGACGGACTACGATTTTAGTAAGAATGTGTACTACGGTACTAGTGACGATCCACTGGTCAAGAACGGATCAAAGCGTTCACGTAAACAAAAGCAGCGCATTAAGGCAGGGGGAAAGATCGCAGCTGCTACTGTGCTGGCTGTTGGATCCACGGAGAAGTACACAGTGGTGTCATTCCCTGACCCCCAAAACTCTGATCTGCTACAGTTTGGCGTGGTGGAAATGTGTGACTTTTGGTGTCCGTCGCAGACCAGCAGCCAATTTGGCATTGAGGTGGGCGTGTCTCTGGAGTGTCGTGTCGTCCAACCTTCGCTGAAGAGCGGCTCGAACTCGACTCCCTTCAATGATTTGGTTTTACTTGCACTGGAGAAAGAAAAGCTAGTGGCAAAGGCGAAGGGCGTTCCACGCAAGTCATCGTCCAGGCTGCCTAAGTACGCGCAGGATGATCTCGTGCTAGGTAACACGCTGACCGGTGTCATTGTGAGTATTTCCGAGAGTTCGATGGAGATTCGCGTGGAGACCTCCAAAAAGATCGGGAAGGTCCGCACACTGGTGTCCATTGTTGATGTCGATGATATCGACAAAGACGAGAAATCTGGTCACTCGCACCCTTTTGACAGGTATTCTGTCAATACTACAGTTACGGGTCGTGTAATCGCCGTTACCGCAAAGGGAGCCAACAAACTCAAGGCTGTCAGCGAGGAAAACCCTGCAAAGTTCCACGCCCTGCAGCTGTCACTGCGTGCAGAGGACGTGGCTGGTGATGAAAAAGTGAACGACGTGCAGCGATTTGTTCGCCCGGATTGGCTGGAGGGCAGCGCGGGTCGTGCACTACTGAAGGAAGGCAACACCGTGCAGGGTGTCGTCTCGGAGCAGTCCATAAACTACTTGAGTATTAAACTTAGCAGCAATGTTACGGGCACTCTAAGCTGCATTGAAGTGTCGGACGACGTGAATGCAGTGCGTGCGTTTCAGGACGACTTTCCTGTGGGCAAGCGCGTCAAGTGCTTCGTGCTCCAAGTCGACGCCGATAAGAAGGTGGTAGACTTGTCTATGATTCGCTCTTCCTCAGCCCAGGACAAGGCTGTCATGAAGCCCGGAACGATTGTGAACGGTGTCATTTCGACCAAGAAATCGACCATTCGTCCACCTTCGATTATGGTGCAGCTTGGTACCCACACATTTGGTCGCGTGTGCATTACTGAGCTCTTGGCTGAGTGGGAAAATAATATGCTGGAGCTGCCTCAATTTGCGGCTAACAAGGTCGTGCGCTGTGTTGTACTATCGACTACAGACAGCCACATTGACTTGTCTCTGCGTTCGGATGCACTGGAGAATCCGAGTGAGTACGCCAAGAAGACGTCCAAGCCAGTAGAACATAGCATAGGCGACTTGGTGCCCGCGATTGTGGCTACTACCACAATGAGTGGATGCTTTGTGCGTCTGGATCGTCACACAACAGCCCGTGTGATGCTCCGTGACCTCAGCGATGACTTCGTGAAGGACCCGCAGACTCAATTTCCTGCTGGCAAGCTGGTAGCTGGCCGAGTTACAAAGAAGTCGGACCGCGGTCTGGAGCTCAGTCTGAGGACGTCTGTCGTCTCGGAGGACGTGTCGATGTTCAAGTGGAACGATTTAAAGGAGGGTTTGACGGTCAAGGGCACGATCACGAAGGTGCAAGCGTACGGCGTTTTTGTTCGTATTGAGAAGAGCACAATCAGTGGTCTATGCCACATTTCAGAGGTTGCAGACGATAAGGTGACGCAGCCGCTGGATCAGATCTTCTCGGAGGGCGACTACGTTAAAGCAAAGGTGCTGAAGGTTGAAAACCGTCGTGTGTCGTTTGGACTGAAGCCATCGTATTTCGAAGGTGAGGAGAGCAGCACGGAAGAGGAATCGGACGAGGAAGAAGAGGAGGCTCAGGTCAGTGATGAGGAGGAGGCTGAGGAGGCTGAGCCTATGGAAGTCGACGATGAGGAAGCTCCTGCCAAGATGTCGACGCCGAAGAAGTCTAAGCCAGTGGCGATGGAAGCTGACCTGGGCGATGCCAACTCTTCAACTGAAGACGAGGACGAGAGCAGTTCGGTTCCTGTTGAGTTTAGCTGGGACGGATTTTCAAGTGCGTTAAGCAAGAAAGTGGAATTTAAAGCTGATGATGCATCGTCTTCCGATGAGAAAAACGATGAGGAGGAGGACATTGCGAGCTTTTCCAAGTCCAGCAAGAAAAAGCGTCTACAAAGCGACGAGTGGGTGGCACTGCGTGAGAAAGCCCTCGCTAGTAGTGAGGAGGTTCCTCGGAGCGCGAGTGACTACGAGCGTCTTTTGGCTGTGTCGCCACAGAGTTCATATCTGTGGATACAGTACATGGCCTTCCACGTATCTCTTACGGAAGTTGATCTGGCGCGCGATGTTGCGGTTCGTGCAACGTCAGCTGTGTCGTTCCGTGACGAGAAGGAGAAGCTGAACGTGTGGGTGGCATACTTGAATCTGGAGCACGATTTTGGGGACGATGCAAGCTTTCTGCGCGTGTTCAAGAGTGCTCTGCAAGTGAATCACCCGAAGCGTGTATACCTGCATTTGGTGGACCTGTACGCACGTGCAGAAGAGCATGAGGACGTGACGCAGACGTTGGCTACGATGCAAAAGAAGTTTCGCACAAGCAAGCAAGTGTGGATCCGCTCGCTGCAGTATCTGATTGGTGAGAAGCAGTTCTCTGACGCTGCAGAGACCCTGCAGCGCAGTCTGAAAAGTTTGGCTGCTCACAAGCACCTGCCGGTGATCCTCAAGTACGGTCAGCTTTTGTACGAACAGGCCGAGCTAGACAAGGCCCGAACGATTTTTGAGGGCATCCTGGCCAACTACCCGAAGCGAATCGATCTATGGAATGTATATCTGGATAAGGAGATCAAGTTTGGAGACGTGGCTCTTGTACGCGCGCTGTTTGAGCGTCTACTGGCTATGGAGTTTTCAGCAAAGAAGATGAAGTTCCTGTTTAAGAAGTATATGCAGTTCGAGCAGGACCAAGGCGATGACGAGCATGTGGAGCACGTTAAGGATTTGGCTAAGGACTTTGTTGCTAGCGCTGCAGCCAAGTAGACAGACGATCGCTTTCGACAATTGAATAGAGATGATGAATGTAATTTTGCACCAAAATGTGGCCGTGTCAAGATCATTAACCAACATGTGCTACATGAAAGGACTTTGTTTGCATGATCATTGGACGCAGCATCCAGTACTTTGTGGCTCCCATGTATCATCCGCGGGTGACTATTCTCTGTTACATGACATTGGCACAAACATCAGGTTTTAATGAGGATGTTATTGTAGCAAATGATATTCGACATTATTATCTTGCACTTAGTTGTTCGACTTCCTCTGCCTCACTGTGTACGAGAGGTTTTGAGGCATCTGCTTACACTGACACTGTGTCAGTGTAAGTAGATTATATTGTGTCAGTATAATCGGAGGATGCCCCGTTGCACCTGGTAGCGCTTTGTGGTCCGTTCAACGACAGACGTTACATCCGCCATAAGACCAGCGGATGTGGAACTTCATCACGCAATGCGTGGTGATGATGCGTGATGACTTCTCCCATTTGAGCGATCTTCAAAGGTAAGCGGTACAGCGTATGGCTGAAAGCGTCGGCGATCCTACCGTCGAGGCCGTATACAACTATCGCCATGTTCATACAGCATAAACTTGGCGAAGCGATGAAAAACGACCCTTGCTACAGCGGCAAGGTGCTCAACAGGCTAACCTGTTGAGAGAACAAGGCACTCAACAACTGACTTGCTGCTGCAGCAATGTTCTTAACAATCCGAACTGGTGAGACAACATCAAGTAAGTTGTAACGGGGTTACACGACGGTTGTAGCGTCTTTCCGAGAGTTTACGGTTGAAGTCCTCTTTTATTGCATATAATGTATTCTTGATACCTCTCTTTGGAGAGGTATTAAGTATAAGCGTTAAAGATACGGTATTCGGTAATACCGTATCTTATCGATTAGGATTCGATAAATCGATAACGCTGTACTAAGTACATCATACACAGATGTTTAGACGATACGTCGTCCAATAGCAAAGTCTGCATATAATAATTACTATTATAGTAATTAATCTAGTGTAGTGTACTTAGAGTAGGACTATTCATAAAATCTTAATGCATAAATAAAATCAGTTCTCCTTTTGAGTTTAAGATCGCAAGTCGTTCTGACTTGTTCTCTTGTGCACTTCGTGCGTTGGTTCTCAGAACCTTTAACTTCTAGCTTGTTCTTGCACTCTGTGCGTTGTTTCTCTGAACCTTAAGCTTATTGCTTGTTGACTAAAGGTCTCTTCCTCGTTCCTTAGAACAGGGTGACTTTAAGTCGTTTAATTAGCTCCTTAGAACTAAGAGGCTTTTAGCCGTAAATTTATTTAGTTCTCTAGAACTAAGAGGCTTCCAGCCGAAAGTCTTCCTCTGGCTAAAGAGCTGTGCAGCTTCGCTACACTTGGTAGCACTGTAGTCAATCCTACACCTGAGTCCTTAAAGACTGACCCTCTGTGAGGATGGAGAATCAAAATCACCTCTCTGAGGCGCAACGACTCGCGCTAGATAAATTATCTGCGTTCGTTGGGCCCGATCAAATCGATGCCCTTTTGGCCCAAGGCCCGGAGGTTCTAAATGCTCGCCTTGAGGCCTTTATGCGTTATGAAGCAACGCTACTCGGACAGGTCCATGACCAGGCAGCGTCAGCTGCGCCTACATAGTACATCCAGGTACCTGTGCCCGATGTAGAGCCAAAGGCTCGCCCACTCGTTTTAAACGTTAAGACCTTTGAGGGGAAGGAGGGAGAAAATCTTCTCCTCTGGATCCGAGAAGTTGAAATGGCAATGGATGCCGCCATGCTTGTATCAGATAAGCAGCGAGTTGGCTTGGCCAGTTCAAAGCTCGGTGGAAGAGCTAGAGATTGGGCTCTAACGAGCGATGTCTCTGCAAATCCCGCTATTCCCTAATGGGATATGCTTAGAAAGCAATTAACTTGTGTGTTTGCACCGCCTAATAAGGCTTATCGTGTGCGCTCACGCTTCTTAGCTACCCCACATGGTAAGAAAGAATTGTCGGACCATGTCCAAGAGTTGCGAACTCTAATTGCTGCTATACAGCAGGACCCTCTGGCAGAGGAAGTCCGAGTAACCATTTTTATGGAAGTACTTCGTACTGGTGTCGCCGGGACAGAGGTTTTTCGTGTCCAGCCTTCAACTTTCGAAGAGTCAGTAAGCATAGCGTTTAACGCTGAATTTAATTTCACATCTCCTCGCTATGGTCTGCCATGGCATCATTCAAATGCCTCTAACAGGGCGGAACCCATGGACCTCAGCCATGCTGAAGAAGCTGAGCTTCAAGATGCTGAGCAACAAAGTAACATCCGTAGATTTTACATGTGCGGAAGCACTAGGCATCTTCGCCCTAGCTGTCCGTTGCGAAAGCAACGTTCAAATCGCAGAGCCGAAACCCTACTCCTATTCAAAAGTAGAGCACCGCAGGGGAAAACGTCAACTCCCAGTAGGCGCGGGGCGCCCTACTGGGAAAGAACTAAGTTCTGTTGAACCTTTTGAAGGTAAAGGTAGACAGGGCTTAGCCCCAGGTGGTTCCGTGGATGCTTCCATGGAACAGGATTACAAGCCAGGCTTGTTTGTTGTGTCGGCAACCGTTAAGGGTTTTGAGAAACCATGGTCAATTCTAATTGACTCAGGGGCGTCAGGTAATTATGTCCGTCGTCGTTCCCTTGAATGTAGTCATCTGTATGCTGAGGCGCTAGAAGCGCTAGAAGCGCAAGAGGGTGACAGTATGACCGTGCGTCTCGCAACAGGTGTACGTGTCACCGTTCCTAAAGTTCCGTTGAACTTAGGTGTGAAGTTCTTAGACTTCAATAGCATTGAACGCTGTCTTGTACTAGATTTGAACTCGAGATATGATCTCATTCTCGGTATGGCCTGGCTGGAACGCCATGAGCCATGGATCGATTGGAGATCCAAAACCTTAGGCGCAACGCGAAATGTTCCTAGCGAAGCTTTGGAGAGTCATGAACCCACCTTTGCTAGGAAACAAAAGTGCTATTGGCGCGAGCCATTAACTGAGTCGGTTAGTGTGCTGGACATTAGAGTGTCTGAGTTGATAAACTCCAATGTCAATAATAAAGGTGTCGAGCAGAGCTCAATGACACTTAGTGGAACGGCACGTACTCCGTTGAGTGATACTCAAAGTAATATTGAGACACTGGATGTCGGTAATGACATCGGCTCTCGTATAGAGCAAGTTAAGGTCGATGACCTTGTTAGTGATATTGGCTGTAAATGCGATTCACTGGATGTCGGTAATGACATCGGCTCTCGTATAGAGCAAGTAAAGTTCGATGACCTTGTTAGTGATATTGGCTGTAAATGCGATTCACTGGATGTCGGTAATGACATCGGCTCTCGTATAGAGCAAGTCAAGGTAGATGACCTTGTTAGTGATATTGGCTGTAAATGCGATTCACTGGATGTCGGTAATGACATCGGCTCTCGTATAGAGCAAGTAAAAGTCGATGACCTTGTTAGTGAAGTCACTGGTACTAGTGACCCACTGGATGTCAATTTTGACTTCGGCCCTCGCATAGGGCAGGTTAAGGTCAAGGAATCTGTTGACCTTGGGGATGATGGTATCCCAAGTACTTTAAAAAGTACGGTATCGTCAATAAGACGGCAGCGTCGCCAAATGGCGGCTGCGAGACGCAAAGCGTCTGTTTTATCGCGTAGTAATGTCAGTGACCAGTTGTACACCCTGGTCAACGGAGTGACAGGTGATGTCGATGGTGAGGTTGACCTTGAGGCCATCCCATCATTAAATGCTCTCTTAGAGCTAGACGAAATGTCTGTGGATGAATTTCATCAAGCCTTGAAGGCTGGTAATTTATCCGATATGGTGGTCATTCGACCTAACCTCGAGCTGAACTCATCCTCATTTGTCGATGAGACATTCCTCGAAGATACAAAGGCGGCACTAAGTGCACGTAGTGGGGCATCTATTCTGAATAACCCTTCAGATTTCTACTATCATTTAGTTAAGGAATTTCAGGACGTGGTGTGTCACGATCCATTGTCGGTTCTACATCCTGATAGAGGTGTACGTCAAGAGATTGACTTGGTTCCCGGAACCAAATAATGTGTAACACGGCAGTGGCCTTTACCCAAAGAACAGTGTGACGTCATTGACGAGTTCTTTCGTGCAAAGCACGCGGCGGGCATGGTGCGTGAGAGTAAATCTCCGCACTCGACACCCACTTTCTGTGGTAAGAAACCAAATGGTAAATGGCGTATCGTTCATGCTTATTATAAGCTCAATGCAGCCACTATACCTGCACAGACGCCAATACCTAGAAAGAATGTTCTTCAGAACAATATGGTCGGTTGTACCACGTACAGTGCGCTCGACTTAGTCGATGGTTATTACCAATTTCTCATGCGAGCTAGTGATATTCCGCTTACTGCTGTTAGTAATCCGAGCGGTATGCTCTGGGAGTGGTTAGTAATGCCCCAGGGGCTATCGAATGCTCCGGCTACGTTTAACCGTTTGGTGACGCAATTGTTTCGACCCCATCGAAGATATGCACAAACTTATTCTGATGACATTTTTGTCCATAGTCGAGCTGAACATGAGCGGTCGGATATTGAGAATTATATTGTTCATTTACGAGCTGTGCTCGAGTGCATGCGCACTAATATGCTATATGCTAATGCATTTAGTGCATCTTCGGTGCCGAAGAAATTCCCTTTCTAGGGTGCTTCATTGGAAAACGGGGCCTAAGAGCGGATCCCGCCAAGGTCAAATCCATAGTCGATTGGCCTGTTCCACAGTCTCAGAAGGACTTGCGTAAATGGCTTGGCCTTGCCAATTACTTACACAAGTACAGCGAGAATTACGCTGATATGGCTCGGCCATTATCCAATCTTCTTAAAAAGGATGTGGAATGGTGTTGGCATGCCGAACACGAAGATTCTTTTCAAGCGGTGAAGGCTAGCCTTCTTCATTCTCCTATTTTGGCTTTGCCAGACCCTGATCGACCGTTTAGCGTCGTC